GATATGGAGTACTACTTAATTAGCTCGATAAAACTAAGTGTTCTTAGTTTAAAAAAAATATTTTTTTATATTTTTATGAGCTATTTTAATTCAGGTAAACTAATTAATTAGATTCATTTAGAGAGAAACAACTGTGCTATATACGAAGAATATATGGCCATGTCAATATGTCGAAGTTTGTAATGGCAAACTAGTTATTTTCAAAATTTACAAGAATACATATGTAAAGAAAGATACTGTTAATAAAATATAATTAGACGTTGACGAGTCAAAGATATTTGTAAATCCAATTTTGATCAACTAACGCCCAAATCCAAACTTTCTAGAACATAATCGTCAGAAGTCCAAACATGATGAATCGGCCTTACCAGTCACCTTGTTCCACTAGTCTTTATAACGATAAAGAACTATAAATCTTTAGTTATCAATAATTAATAGCTCCGGATAAGATCAATAATAAGAACTTCTTCGATTTGAGATCTTCGTTTGATCCAACAAGTAGGAATATCCAAAAAAAACCACAGTTTGAGATGACGATGCCAACCGACAATGATCAAGATGTAAAATATATTTTCTCTCTCCTCCGATACGTGTCCTAATTCCTGAAGTCCACAGGATGCCGGGTCAATTCAACAGAGTAGAACCCAGCTAGGAACCTCCGCTGTCCATTTTGACCCCTAGTTCACAGCTATCATGTCTTCTACGCTAAAAGATTTGATTGGCATCTTTGGAATACAAATTCTACAAAAATATAAATATTGCAATACCATTTCAAAGTCTTTAACAGTTTGATATGAAATTCTACAAAAATATAAATATTGTAATACTATTTCAAAGTCTTAACAGTTTGACATGAAATTCTACAAAATTATAAATATTGCAATACAATTTCAAAGTCTAACATTTTGATATGAGATGGAAACGGAAAGAGAAGATCCGTCACTTGTGTTAACAGAACTTTTAAATCAAGCTTTAAATCAGATTATGACATTAATAATTAAATCTAGATTAGATGCTAATAGATGATGTATTCATGTAATTGAACAATTAAACAGATTCAGAAATAAGTAGGATAAGATTCGTGGTCACCTTCCTAGTTGAAATCAGTCATCCCACCCATCAGGCGTCCCCTCTACAGAAGGGTGAGACAAAGGGATGCAGCTTTTTGAGGCGGGCGACAAACGCAAAAAGGTGTGAACAGTCATCTGATAGCAGATGTACAAACTAATTGCATTATCTGCATCCGCGTGCAATCGACCACTCAAAGATGTAGACACACCAGCTGCCATTATTGGTGGGCAATAATGAAAGATATGCCTTTGATATAAATCAGAACTGGAGGAATGCCAAAGCACAGTTTAAGATGAATTTTTATATCTTAAATATAGGTCTAAAATGATTATTCGATCCATTAATCTAATATTACACCAAAATATTTAACCCGCTTATTTTAGGTTAAGGATTTAAATCTTTATCTTAATTTTTTTTAAAGATACAAACTAATTTAACTAATAAAGACAAACAAATTATTCCTGATCATAGGATGAAAACCTATATTCACCACCGTGTGCAAAAAGATAAAAAGTGACAACAAACAAAATGTAAGCTTACAACAACTACTACTTGATTGGGCTTTAAAGGCACTGAAATTGTAGCGTAAACAGAACTATTAGTCCATTGTCGGCTTCTGGAATCATTTAGTGTTGAATCGAGCATATCACAAGGCTTAGAGATGTCACCATATCATCTCTCGCATGATTTTTACCTAATAAAATATTATCGGAATCGCACCAGCTAATTGACAGCTGAATCGTCAATTCATATACCATTTTCTTCAGAGCTGGTGCAGAGATCTGCGAGGCTCAGTTCAAATCCATTAGCTCAAGGATTCAGCAGAAAACTTCCCCTAAATGCCTGATATCTCGGCATAAAGTTCACTACTTTTGACATCTTGATACATGGGAAAAGGAAGAGGTAGACGCTACCACTAGACTAAACGCACAGCAACTTTAAGAGACACGTATTGCATAATTCTCCTATTCGCTTGGCATGACAAATGGGACAGTTTTAGGATGCCAATCAAGTTGAGCAAGTTGGTCGGTTGGGTTCCACATGAAACACATGTCCCATTTATATCAAGGCTTGATTCTTCGAATACAAGCAGAAGGAATCGTACGAGGATTCAGAATTTTCTGAACCCCAAGTTTTTACTATTTTACCAGCTCCTCAGTATCTTGTTGTTTGATTTGGTTATTTCCCATTTAGGTTAGCGGATTCTAAAAGAAGCTTTTAACATCTACATGTAGCAATGTACTTGATTAAAGCAATAAATTTGATTAAAGCAGGCTAAACAAATGCAAGTACGTGAAAGACCTGACATTCTATCATTATCATTTAATAATAAGAACATAAATTATGAATTCATCTTACCTGAACTCAAACTTGATTATTGATATGTGCTTCTCCCGTCTCAGTCCCAAGGAGTTCAGGTTTCCTGTAGGTGCCGATGTAGAACAGGCAAAGGGATGAAGTCGAAGGACACTGGTGATTGCAACCTCGCAGTTTATTCTATCAGCACAGAAGTCAAGAAAAAGGTCAAAAAGCAAGAAATACTAACGTTGATATCACAATGTAAGGATTACAGGAAGTGCTGAGCTAACCTGAAGCAACCATGCTGAATCCACCGCAACATTATATTACAGGAACAACAAGCCAGAGAGACACAAGGTCAAATAGATAAAACAAGCAAAACCCCAAATCTGACATGTTTTATTATTCTCTTATTCAAGCAAATGCCATAATCTCTAAGCAAATACACGAAAGCAAGAATATGGTGTAGTTATGTGGTGATGATGGGTGGTAGACGGTCGGACTTGGCGCCGAGGATACGAGCCTTGGTGTCGGGGATGAATTCCATCCCGGGCAACTGTGTCACCACCCCTTCATACGTAACTCTGTAGGATAGCTTAGAAGATGTCCTGGAAGGTCATGGTCTCCAACATTATTACTGGAATACAGATCCCAGTACTTGTCTGCGATCCTGTCAACCTTCTGCACACACTCCAAGCTCTCTGGGTGGAGGAAGACATCATCAAGCAATCCAAGGTGCTCATACCAAAGAGCCATCCGGAAACCATGGATCTGTCCCTTGCCGGCTCTCTAGTTGACAGACGAAATGGTTGGTATGCTCCCATTGCAAGCTCAGAATCCCTGTTTCCATCCATTGACCTCTGATTGATGTTGGCAGACCCATATTTATAATATACTCGTCATCAACAGACACCAAAAGTTTGGGGTAATTAAGATTTCATTAACACTTGAATGGAGACAGAGTTCAATAAGCACCCCAAGCCTCCGTAAGATCTGATTTAGATTAGCATGAAATAGACCAGATGTTGATGGGCTTTGGTACCTGGAAATGCTCGATTAAGAATAAAACAATTTGCATCCATAAAGGATGCAAAGAAAGATTCTATAGTATGAACTAGTAATGTGACTAAACAAAAAAGAGTTTGCATTACCAAAACATGAAGTGCTAATTGTTGCAGGATAAAACTATATCTGATTATGCTTGATTTGAATCAGGTGATGATTATATTACGGTCTACAACAAGAATTGTGGACGAAAAGCACCTAGTGTTCTTCGCAAAGAAAACCGTTAAATGCATAGAGCTAGTAAATATGAGTGTTAAGAAGAATACCAATCATCATCTTCGTATGAACATAGATCAGGAACCGCCTGGCCTCCTGAGCCCTGCTGTAGTCCGTATGTGGCTGTGGGTGCTCCTCAGGTTCGAATTCACCACTCTTCTTTACCTCCCGAT